CAAGTTTAGAAGTTAAATTAAAAATGACAAGAGTGTCCCAGGATTGTACAGGAAGTCCTAAAGACTCCAAAGCTCGTAAGTGTTGAACCGAAACGTCAATAAGGTTTCTGAGCGACACATGAGATTCCTTGGTAACATTTTCAATGTCATTTAGGGCTTTTAAATGAGTTTGGATTATGACTTTTTTATTTTCATAACGTTGGCAAAGAATGTCCCAAGCTATTGCATAATTGGTTTCAGATACCTCAAGAGAATTGAGAACGTTAGCCGCGTCCCCTTTAAGGCAGGATTTCAAATACCAAAATTTTTCTATGTTACTTATTGTACCGTTGTTATGTATGAGCGATTTGTAAGTATCCGAAAATTGCAGCCATTGATCGTAGGATCCAAGAAACTCGGGGAGTTTAATTTTTGGTAAGCTTGCATTTATATGTGATTGTGAAGGCAGTGCATTTTGATTTGGATTAAAGAATTGATTTTGACTGACGACATGCTTGTCTATTAGACTTTTAGCTTTACCAGTTGACTCGAAAAATATATCTTCAAAGTTTACTCTTTTATCACTATGATCAGTTGTTGTATCATAGAGTTCTAAGTCTCCCTGGACAGAGATAAATTCGTTCCAAAGAGACTGAACCTTTTCTAAACGAGCCTGTAGTTCGAAAATTCTACCAAAGTCAGAAAAGTTGTTAACGGAAACACTAAATCTTGTGAGTGCTTCAAAACATAATTTTCTGGCATGTTTAAGCACTTTAATTTTGTCATCAAATGACGCTGTTTCCTCTCCAGGCATTGTAGGATAGTAGCGAAATAAATAATATTAAGAATATGGTAAATTAGTAGTAACGTCACAAAAGACTTGTGAAAATATCAATTATTGAGAAAATATAAGTAACCTACTTATGAAATTACCCAAATAAACTGAGAATTGAATAGTGTCTAAGTGTTGTGAAAAAACCTTGGAAAGGCTATGGTCAGAAACAAGTAAGCGCAATTTTGGCTCAGAAAGAGAGACAGTTGTACGTTTGATTCAAGTATTAAATAAATATATACAAAACTGAATTAAATAGAAATGTTATTATGTACAACTAAAATAACACAGAACACAAAAACTAACCGTTATTTGCACACTGATTTGAAAGTTATTGCAAAGTTTGTTGTGATGAGTTTCTTGACCTTGATTGCCTTGAGGTTCCAACACGTAGAGAAGGAATATACTGTTTGGTACTTACAGTTTGCTGTTGTGATCGTTACTATTGTCAGAGCTATTGTCAGCACTGCGTCGCACTTCAACAATTATGTCCAAAGAAACTGCTTTGGATAACTATAATTGTTTATACTTATACCTATCCGGATCGAAGGACCATGTTCGGGGTCTGGTGGGCTTTTCCACTGTCCCGATTGTTGGATCTTAAATTAACTATTTAAGATTGCTGGTTCATTAATAGAAGAAAACAAGAAAAATGTTTATCTTCGTTTAATGACTATAGAAAAATTATTATAAACTAAAAAAAAACAAAGGGTTTTTATATTTTTTCTTAGATAAGAAAATTCGTAATATTATTCAGCTAACCGACTGTACGCAACGAAAGAATAATTCGAAGTGCCCTTTCTTGAAAAGCACCCAAATACGAGAGAACGGGTAGCGGCCAAGAAAGAGAGATGCAGAATACAAACAAAAAATATACATTCCTCAAGTGCTTAGTCATCCGAGAAACTACGCAGTTATTTGGAATTTGGAATATAAAAAAAAATTAAAAAAATATTCTTTACAGAATAAGAGCAAAGTCTATAAGGGGCTCAACATCAACCGTTTAATTGCACCTCAATATATTACATGGATAATGCCAACATTTTATTTTATGATATCTTGGCAAAAAGTACAAGCTCATTAGCAATATAGATGAGAAATGAAAATATAGTGCAGGTTTTAGAATCAGAGGACTACAAATCGAAATTTCCAATATACGCTAGCATGATAAAAAGTTAGTTTAGGAAAGGGATGGCAAGAAATGAGTTACTAAAACAAGGCAATAAAATTTTCAATTTTCTCTTCAAGGACCTTCCTGAGTTACCACATGACTGTATTGAGAAAATTTCAACTTATCTTATTGAGAGTTCCTTAGCCACCAGTAAATAGAATAAAACACAATACAAACCAGTAACAGTTAGGTATTTTCTACCCACTCAAATAAATATTTGGGCAAAAAATAACAGAAAAACTACACAACTTTTACAGTTACAACATATAAAATTATTTTTCTGTAAATATACATAGCTATAAGTACTTATACAGGGTGTGGCACAATGGACTCCCACAAAGTCACTGACACTGACGTGCCGCAATAGAAGAGGGGTGGGGAAGGTCCCATTTGCTCGGGAGGGAATGAAGTTTTTACTTTTCAGTAGTCAACATGCCGTGGTTGGGCGGTCGTGGAAGCGTTTCACACATACATTCAATCTAGCTAGTTTTATAGGATTTGCAGATCCCGTTCTCCTAAATTTTCGATCTATTTCAAAATCATGTTCCGAACAGGAACATTTGCATTAAAGTCGTGCGCGCGTGCGAAATGCTCTCCGCGTCGCAGACACAATTTGAAATAAGTATACCTACCTGCTTAAAATTGTTAGTTAAGATTGGGTCACGAGTTCAAATCAAATCAAATAAGCTATAGGTATTGTCCAAAAAAAAGATAAATTTTTACTGACAAAGCAAATACTTAACCTAACCTAACCTCCTAAAACATAAAACTACAGTACACAAGCTAAAATTGTCCAGAGTTTTCTCTTAAATAAAAAAAAATTGAACCTTATTAAACAAACAAATACACATATTCGGTCCAAAATCAGTAAAATTTCGAAGTTTTTAGAAGTACATTTATACCTACCTAAAAAAACCCAAATTCCATTCAAGTATTGCATAATGCATTTTCCTCATAAAATTCACTTACACTATACAAGGCTTTGGTAGTTAAATGCTGTTTGACACCCAAATGAAATGCTCTATAATTAGAACATTCTTCAATTTGTTGCGGTAAATGATTGTACATTTTAATACTTTCATAAATGACTGAATTTTTCGTAAGTGTAAATTTAGGGATTGGTAAGGGTGCATTATTTTGTCGGAGGTTATAGTTACTCGCCTGAACAGAACCGGTATTCTTTCAATAGACAAGGCTCACCGATTCCAAAATAAAAAAAGATGGCACAGTCATTATTTCTTCCTGTATAAACAACGGTCCACATGATTCTGTGCATTTTTTCTCGCACAAGTAACGCACAGACCTCTTCTGCCTCGAGTGATTTTTTAGTGGAATAGCCCCAGAAAGCTATACCAAATCTGATATGTGACTCCATTATAGAAAAATATGCATTTTTTCAGTAGTTTTGCCAAGCTCGTGCGCAATGCTCCTAATCATATAGCATGCACTTGCCAGTCTTCTTTTTAAAATTGCAATATAGCCCTCAAACTTAAGAAGTGCATTAATATGTAGTCCCGAATATCTCACGGATGGTTTACTTTCGAGAGTTTCGTCCTGCAACTTAACATTTGTTATATTGTACTCAAATGTTAGGATGTTCGTTTTTTGTACATTGAAGCAAAGTTTATTTGTATCGCACCATTTCTTTATCTCCAAAAAAAAGTTAGTTTCATTTGAAATATTTTTAATATGTGTTATGTGTAATGTGTACCTTAACCTTTATATACACACAACAAAAAGAGTTTTGCACCGCCCTGTATCTAATGTAACTACAGAATATTCATCGATAAATAAAAATATTATCTTCAACTATGGAATGTGTCCAGTACATTTACTAGAAAAAGTTTAGGAATCTGAAATTGAACACCATTTTTTTATTGATAATATTTTAATTTAGATATCGCTGAATTTATGAAATGAGACGGTGCAAAACTTTTTTTGTTGTGTATATTTGTAGTATAAATACTTCCTGAGAGAAAAACATGGATCTCTGTAGCTGTAAAATGAGAATACTCCGTCAGCTGCTAATCTCGCTCCAGCTCCATAGGCTCCATGTATTTCTCTCAGTTCCGGAGGCCAATACTTAGCGGAAAGTAATTTTGCCACAACCTTTAAGGAAGCGTACTCAGGTTTTGTATAGGGAGCAGTCAAAATAAAACAGCCTTGCTACAATTATCACTGGAATATTAAAAATATGATGTTGGCAATTCACTGAATCCGAAGGAGACCATATTTGGCCCACAACATAAGAATTTTCACATTTTTCTTTACCAACAATTTGAAGTTCATTTCCTGTTTGTCAAACGAAATAACAAATAACTAAATTACCCAGAAAATTACCGAATGCTAATGAAATCCTCAAAAAGCCAGAAAACATCGAGAGCAAATACCTACTCTTCCTCTAAGACGAGCAAATAGGTACCTAGCCTAGATGAAAAACCAAAGTTGCCTATTTCTAGATGGAATAGGTATTCAAGAAAGAGCGGTATACCCTTCGACTCCAAGACAAAAGAGGAAAATAGGATATAGAAAGGCTTAAATTGATTAGGAAAGACGCAGTTGTAAGTCAGTTCGGCGAATCAATAAGCAGTACAAAGCTGTACAAAGTACAAAAAAGTGAAAATAGTATTTACAGAGAGTTTTTGTCAGTCTCAGAGTTCCACCAAACAGTATGATTACACATTGTATTTTATACAAATTTACTGTTCGTCGATGCCTTAAAAACTAAACCAAACTGATTTTTTTAATGAATAATCACTGCGACACGCTTCGCCTTGTACTTCAAATTTCACCGCACACCCCTGGCGACACCACGGTCTTTTGACCTTGAACGAAAATTTCGAATTTGATCCCATATATTCGAGAACATAAACATTTCAAATGTGTAAAAAGAAAACACAAAGTTACCTTGAAATAAAAATTTACCGTCATATCATTGCATTTACAACCTGATTTCCATTGTTTACTAATACTATCATTATTAATATTTTATTATTAATTTATTTTGTATTGTTGCAGATGAAAGTTATAATTGGACTTCTTCTAATTGCCACCGCGTCATTGGTTTTTCCATTGGGTGACAGTGAAGTACCGAAACCTCAAGAGCCTCTGGTAATTTCCGACTACGACTCAGTGTGAGAGTCCGAAGAAGCTCGTTAAATCCCTTCAGCAAGATTCAGCTGAAATTTCAGGCTCCAGCTCAGAAGAGTCTCTGGTCCCTGTTTAATTGAACCTTCCTCAAGCTGAAGCGCAAAAGGAAGAAAAGAAAATCGATAGATCCCAATCAGAAGAGCCTCAACCCCAATTGAAAACTGGAGGAAAACGTCAGGAAACGACATACACAGTTGCAGACAAGAGACTTGAAGCGGCGTTACGTACGCTCAAAAAAGTTGAAACCGATTTCTGAGGAAACCTCAGCCAAAATCGAAGAAAAAATTGCTGAAAAAGCTCCTTCGGGACCTGAAGAGAAAACCTTGGCCTTGCGAGCTCAAGCCGAAAAAATTGAAGAATAATCTGCCGCAGCTTCAGAACTTGAGGACGAAATAATTGCCAAAACCGAGCGAGCAAAAGGTAGGGCTTCCAGCCAGTGTTGAAGGAAAACTGCCTGAGCTCAAAACAGTCATCCCAGAAAAAAATAAAGACAGCATCGTTGAACTAATATACGAAAAAGAAAGCCAAATCCGATGGAAAAGCACAAGAACAAGCATTGCCTGCTTCAGAGGAACCAAAACTAGCAACCGCTCAAGGACCCGAACCAGCTACTTCAGAACCATTAACTTCATCTGGAGCGCCTTTTGTAGCTCCCCGTGCTGCCGCTGAGCCAGCAAAAGAAGAAAAACCAGTAGAAAAATCACCAGAAGGAATATCTGCTGAACCAGTAGCTCTGCCTCAACCTGCTGCAGTACCTGAAGCAGCTTAACCCCTCAAAGAATAAAACAAGAACAGAAATTGGAAGCTCAACCTGACAAACCAGCAGAGAGCGCAGCAAATTCCTGAATTATTGAAAAACAAACTGAATCAAGTGTGAAGAAAATTATTGCCTGATTAATTTTTTTTTGTTGACGTTTGCTTGCCGCCTTGTTCCAAACCTACACCTAATTCATTTTTATTTTTTTGATTGAACATTGGGGCTGACCGAACCTCTCGTTTTCAATTTCTTTGGAAACACTTATTAATAAATAATTCGAGAGTTCTTTGCTCAACAATAATAATTATTAAGACTAAGGATTTTGTTTTTTGTGAAAATCTTTCCTTTCTTTGTTTCTAATTTTTATTATAATTATTTTTTTAACTGATTTGTGAATAATTTGTCGCCAAAACTGCGGTAAAGTTTCATACAAGTGTCAAAGGATGGATTTAAATTCGCTTTTCCCCTTCTACAGTTTTGGTGGATTTTTTTGCCATCAGTAAGAATTATTTAATAATTTTTTCTAGGTTTAGTTTTATTTTAAATGTATATTTAAAGCTTTTTAATAAAGTTTTATGCATAAGCATTTCGCGTATTATTTTCATTCCCCAAATATTAATCTCTTAACACGTTGACTGCCCAGGAGAATCCGGATATTTTGTTAATATGTACACTAAAAATCATCATCTCTGATGATATACTTTTTGTTGTTAGAAATATGATGGAATCCTGTTCGATTTTTCAAAATGAGGATGAGATAGATATGGGTGTATGCTTCAGGCTCGATTAGGGTTATTCTAAGAATAAGAATGATTTGACATACGTTCCTCAGATTAATAGGCTTCTACGTCCGGTTTATTCATCTTCAAATAAACTGCAACTGTCTAGAAGACAAATATACCAAACTAGTATACGCCCGACGAATAGGATCTTATATTGCGTTTTTATCAGTCAGAATGTACTACCTGACAGTTATCGGAAGGTGACTAAACCGGTTCTATTTCTATTATGTCCAGATAGTGTGTTAAGAAGAGGAAGGTTAGAGAGTGCGATATTTTCTAGACTGTAAAGCCTAGTTTTCTGTAATTGGTTTTACAATACTTCCAGAGCCATACGTTGGCGGCATTCATTTGTAAATCCAAAGTCTTTTGTGTCATCTGTAATTTCCTTACGTTTTTGGTCAACTGAAACTGAATCCGCAATTTAAGGTTAAATGACTAAAATGAGTTTAGGCAGTTTTGCAAGCGGGCATTCGGGGTCCACGGAAAAGCTTTGAAAGGTTGTTCATCTGGATGTCCAGCTAAGAAATTGGTCAGGAATAATTCAAATTTAATACGAATTTGCTTTAATCCTGGTTCCTCTCAAACAATTAAAAATACAAGGTTGTCAGATCTATGTCTCATATTACTACCCAGTCACTAAACGTTTATGCATATTCAAAACCGCGCAATCGGCGCAATAGTCACATATGTTTATTAAAAAGGGCATTAAGAAAAGGTAGTGATTTGAGTTAACTCAGTTTTTCCGTTAAAGCATCCGAAATACTAGGATAATTTCAAATATCATAATAAAAATATTGCTATATGGATATCTTTTTGCCATACACTGTATAGGTATAAACATGACGATAGATAGAAACTTTCATAATCACCATACACAGAAACATACTATAAAAATAAATACAACGTGTGATTGAATAAGTCATTTAAGCATGTGTTTAGGCGTTTTACAGTTTTTTCTGTAGGGAAAATATATAAGTAATTTCGAAATAAATTATTCTATAAACCATTTTCATATGAAGTTCTCTCAAGTCAATTTAGACTTAAATGAGTTTGCGACTTAATGTTTTTATTGAAAATAGCTATATGATAATATAATAAATCTTCAATGAAAATATTTTGTAACTATCTTTTACGTTCTTTTCAAATCTCTCATTAGATAACAATATAACAAATTACACTTTAGAATGATTGGTCTTATAAATTGTCATTATAGTATGTTATAAAATATAAATTTTATAAACGATTATTAAATAATCTTATAGAAAGCTTTATTACAGAATTAATACACATTTTTGTCTCCGAGATACTTTTGTTTCAACTACAGACACTATGTGATAAAATTGTGTATGGAGGATCTTAATACGCCAGTTATATAGCATTTAAACTATTGAGAAACAATTTTTGCTAGTTGGTTGGCGTCAATAAATATAGTGGAAAGTTGGAGGAAAATAAGATCCTTCCAGAAGATCAACCAGTAGTACTAAACAACACAGATAGGCCAGTCAGCAGCCACTTCAAATGTCGAATTGAAAGAAAATGCCGTGAAAACTTTCAAAGGAAAAACTAAGGTAGCACTACTTGATGACCCAAGAAACTCAAATTTTCCAATTCAAACTTTGATTTCCAGATTCCTATTTACATACAGAACAATTCCACATTCAACAACTGGCAAAACACCCTTCCTTCTAATGTATGGAAGAGAACCCAGAACAATTCTATCACAAATTAAAGAGAGCCAACCTTGTAGAAAACCTCCAACCGAAATGGTAAACCCAAACACAGTCCTAACCGATGAATCACCCCCTTCATTGTATTTTACGTTATGTGACCTCAGTGGGTTTATTTCATTACGGTGAAATAAATAACATTTGTTGTTTTTTTTCAAATTAAAATAATAAATGTTTGAAAAATGAGTATTAATTAGGGTCAGTTTGAAATTCATTTTCACAAATGTGAAATCAAATTTCGTTTGTGAGAAATTAGTTTTCGTTACTTTGAAATTAATTTTCATTTGAGCGAAATTAGATTTCACTGATGTGAATTTAGTTTTCATTAATTTGAAATCAAATTTCACTAGTGTGAAATAATTCTGGAAATGGTATAGATGGAATACGGATGTGTACCAAAGGTTCATGAAACCTTGTGACCCATTACTCAAATGATGCAATAGGTATTCAAGAAAGAGCGGTATACCTTTCGACTCCAAGACAAAAGAGGAAAATAGGATATAAAAAGGCTTGAATTGATCAGGAAAGACGCAGTCAGTTGTAAGTCAGTTCGGCGGATCAATAAGCAGTACAAAGCTGTACAAAGTACAAAAAAGTGAAAATAGTATTTACAGAGAGTTTTTGTCAGTCTCAGAGTTCCACCGAACAGTATGATTACACATTGTATTTTATACAAATTTACTGTTCGTCGATGCCTTAAAAACTAAACCAAACTGATTTTTTTAATGAATAATCACTGCGACACGCTATGCCTTGTACTTCAAATTTCACCACACGCCCCTGGCGACACCACCGTCTTTTGACCTTGAACGAAAATTTCCAATTTGATCCCCATATATTCGAGAACATAAATATTTTAAATGTGTAAAAAGAAAACACAAAGTTACCTTGAAATAAAAATTTACCGTCATATCATTGCATTTACAACCTGATTTCCATTGTTTACTAATACTATCATTATTAATATTTTATTATTAATTTATTTTGTATTGTTGCAGATGAAAGTTATAGTTGGACTTCTTCTAATTGCCACCGCGTCATTGGTCTTTCCATTGGGTGACAGTGAAGTACCGAAACCTCAAGAGCCTCTGGTAATTTCCGACTACGACTCAGTGTGAGAGTCCGAAGAAGCTCGTTAAATCCCTTCAGCAAGATTCAGCTGAAATTTCAGACTCCAGCTCAGAAGAGTCTCTGGTCCCTGTTTAATTGTACCTTCCTCTAGCTGAAGCGCAAAAGGAAGAAAAGAAAATCGATAAATCCCAATCGGAAGAGCCTCAACCCCAATTGAAAACTGGAGGAAAACGTGAGGAAACGAAATACACAGTTGCAGACAAGACACTTGAAGCGGCGTTACCTACGTTCAAAAAAGTTGAAACCGAGTGCTGAGGAAACCTCAGCCAAAATCGAAGAAAAAATTGCTGAAAAAGCTCCTTCGGCACCTGAAGGCTCAAGCCGAAAACATTGAAGAAAAATCTGCCGCAGCTTCAGAACTCGAGGACGAAATAATTGCCAAAACCGAGCGAGCAAAAGGTAGGGCTTCCAGCCAGTGTTGAAGAAAAACTGCCTGAGCTCAAAACAGTCATCCCAGAAAAAAATAAAGACAGCATCGTTGAACTAATATACGAAAAAGAAAGCCAAATCCGATGGAAAAGCACAAGAACAAGCATTGCCTGCTTCAGAGGAACCAAAACTAGCAACCACTCAAGGACCCGAACCAGCTACCTACTTCAGAACCATTAACTTCATGTGGAGCGCCTTTTGTAGCTCCCCGTGATGCCGCTGAGCCAGCAAAAGAAGAAAAACCAGTAGAAAAGGCACCAGAAGGAATATCTGCTGAACCAGTAGCTCTGCCTCAATCTGCTGCAGTACCTGAAGCAGCTTAACCCCTAAAAGAACAAAACAAAAACAGAAATTGGAAGCTCAACCTAACTAACCAGCAGAGAGCGCAGCAAATTCCTGAATTATTGAAAAACAAACTGAATCTAGTGTGAAGAAAATTATTGCCTGATTAATTTTTTTTTGTTGACGTTTGCTTGCCGCCTTGTTCCAAACCTACACCTAATTCATTTTTATTTTTTTGATTGAACATTTGGGCTGACCGAACCTCTCGTTTTCAATTTCTTTGGAAATACTTATTAATAAATAATTCGAGAGTTCTTTGCTCAACAATAATAATTATTAAGACTAGGGATTTTGTTTTTCGTGAAAATCTTTCCTTTCTTTGTTTCTAATTTTTATTATTATTATTTTTTTAACTGATTTGTGAATAATTTGTCGCCAAAACTGCGTTAAAGTTTCATACAAGTGTCAAAGGATGGATTTAAATTCGCTTTTCCCCTTCTACAGTTTTGGTAGATTTTTTGGCCATCAGTAAGAATTATTTAATAATTTTCTCTTAGGTTTAGTTTTATTTTAAATGTATATTTAAGGCTTTTTAATAAGGTTTTATGCATAAGCATTTCGCGTATTATTTTTATTCCCCAAATATAAATCTCTTAACACG